TATTTCCCAGCTTAATTGACAGCGCTCGAAGTGCCACTGGAGTAGAACCATCTGCAGCCACCAACCCACAACACCTATCGGCAACACTTCCATACAAGCCCACATTGTCCCGTTTGCCTGGCGGTGTTCAATCTTCGCACTCAAAGACAAATCGGTCAGCAGGTTGCACTCGCACGCACTTTGAACACACTAGGTATTGATGTGTGTTGTTTGTCCGAAACTAGGATCACTAACCCTAATGAGGTTGTTGAATTAACTGCACTCGGCTTGTCCTCTCGCTATTGGTTGCACGCATCCGGAGACGCCTATGCAGCCCTCACAGATCAAGCCGGGGTAGCTATCATCCTCAGCTCCAAGGCTGAGCCATGGTTGGTTAATTGGATTCCGGTGAACCTCCGTTTGTGTGCAGCCCGTTTGACGACATCAACTAAGACTGATTCACGAAGTAGTACAAACGCTGTTTGTGATTTCCGCTCTTTTTCCCACCGACTGCAGTTCAAATGCTGCCAAGGACACATTCTATCACGAACTGAACGCGCTACTAGTTCAGATATTCTAGTACTTGCAGGGGATATGAACGCACACGTATGGCGTCTTTGCTCTTCAGAAGCTCAGCTGGGTGGTACTTATGGGCTTAACTATCATGGAGTGTTCCCTTGTGGAATCTCACGATGTGGGCGTTGAAGTGCTGCATGCTGAAGGGTTAGTTGATGTAGATTATGCGGACGATATCGTCTTGCTTTTCGACGATGTTGCGGTGGCACAGTGAATCCTGAATAGCCTGTCCAGGGTGTTCCCATTATGTGATATGCACTTCGCACCTTCAAAGTGCAAAGTGTTGCTGCAGGACTACCAGCCACTTGATGACCCCTTGACGCTTGCTAACTAGGAACTCGAGATGGTTGACCATTTCACTTATCTTGGCAGCTGCATCAGCAATGATGGGCGTATAGAAACTGGCGTCAGCTCACGCATTGCAACGGACAGAGCTGCCTTCTTGAACCTGTGGCATCTTTGACGACAGAAGGGAGTTTTCCTCCGTCTGCAAGGCCGTGTACACAAGGCCACAGTGAGGGCCGTTCTGCTCTATGGGAGTGAGACTTGGCCCCTTCGGTCTGAAGATCTGAGGTGCCATTCAAGTCTTTGATCATCGTTGTCTGCGAAGCATTGCTGGTGTCGGATGGCACCATCGTGTCCCCAACGATGACGTGCGTGTGCGAGTGTTAAGCATGGTATCTCCCTAGAACAACAGATAACACTGAATAAGTTGCGTTGGCTCGGGCACGTGCTACGTATGCCTGGTCACCGCTTACCTAGGAGGGCCTTGTTTAGTCTGCGAGGTGTAGGGTGGCGCAGGGCTCGAGATGGACAGAAGTTGATTTGGCAACGGGAAATGAAGTCACTGACGACCAAACTGGGTGCCGTTGATCCGTTTTGCTTTTCGGGCTGGAGTCCATGTGACTTGCCTTGTGCTTGGCTTGAAACTTTACAGGACATGGCTCGCAGTAGACACCAGTGGCGCGTCTGCTGCGGTCTCCTAATCGGATTGCCTCTTTAAAATGTGTTTGGTGCTGAGTTATTTGCGTGGTAATGGGTGATTATGACGCGGGGCAGTGAAAGCCGCAAGGAAGCTGTCTCTCTGATGCCGGCTTATGCACGATAGCCAGCTGTTTGTGACGGCACGTTATTAACACAAGGTGTAGACGCTTTGACCCTGAATGTTTGCTTAGGGCATTAAGGTTTTCAGGTAGATCCCCCTTCTCTCCCTTTCATAGGTGCTCATGGTTGTATGACAGCGAAGCATCAGTTTAAATGGCTGATGTACTGCTGTTGATGTGATTCTGATTCAGCATTTTAATGAACGGAAATGTGCTGGTTGAAACTGAACATCGGGAGAACGTATAACTACAATGAAATTTAAACCGAACACTACACCAAAAATGTGTTTTTTTTCAGAGGTCTTTCATCGGCATAACGCCTTCGTACTGTAACGGCTCTTCGCTGTGAAAATTCGCCACTGTCCGCGCGTACGCCTTGTTTATGTCGAAGTCGTTCACATCCACGGGAATTCGAACCTGTGATTTCTGGATTACAAGGCATTCGCGTATTCCTTCCGGCCACTGACCGAGGACGTGATTTTTCTTGTTTTTTTAAGCCGAAGAAGGTAGTTGACATAAGGGACACCACCCCGTTAACGCAATGACCTGTCGATGCGACTGCCTACAGTCACGAGACACCTGCAGCTACAGAGGGACCATGGTGGCTGGCGCTGCGTCATCCACGGTTCCACCCACGCACCCCACATTCTATGTAAACTCAAAGGAACAAAACTTAGAGATATTTAGATAGGAGCCAATATTGATTAGGAGCCTACCCACACTCTTTTCAACTTTCAAATCGTTTACATGAAATCGAGAACAAGATTCTTACCAGACATGCGCAGGGCAGCGTATGCACCGCAATCCATATTGTAATGGATGAAACCACTCTTTGAGCTTAGCACCATCGAGAGGACTGTCCGTTTCAGCAATGATTAACATTCTCCTGTAGCTAGTAATGGTGGTGGCGGTATTCGGCAGGTAGGGGCCATGTAAACATTCGCATAACTTGCAGCAAGGTTGGGATATTAATCAGTAAATGCTTTCAAAATGCGACAAACGGACTCACAAGTATATGTATAAACCAGCTCTCACAAAAGTCCAGCACACGTGCCACATCTGCCGAAATATTGGTCTGAGTTAGTAAACGAAATCGAAAGCAGCGTACCTACCATTCAGTCGGCTGAGGCGCATACGATTACAAGTGCTACAGCACCAGGTACGTGATGTCAGTGGGCTGGATTCTGTCGGCACCTGGCGCTTTCACAACCAGCGTTTTTCTTCCTGATGCAGCAATTATTTCCCGTAAACCTGAGAAGTCGCCTACTTAGCGTGATCACACCATTGGCGGCGATTCATTCTCGTTGCTTCTCAACACCTAAAGTCAGCATTAGTTCATGATAAACTTATCTTGTTCATGTCTTGATAGCGTAGCTTCGTTTTTTATACATTTTACTTCTTTGCAGGCAGTTGACCATACAGCATGTGCTTCGGTCTCCTGATCGCATCCAAGCCACATCGAGTGTTGTAGCAGCAGTACGCAATGCAGTCTATGCATGCCGATCCGGTGGAGCACTTCCGTGTCAGGGACCCTGTCACACCAACTAATGTGCGGAATCAGACACAGGCATTGCTGATGAAAGCGCCCAAAATATCAATTACCCTCTCTGCACATCATCCATGTTTCGCTGTCATACAGAATAAAAGAATGTAGCACTTATTTTTATACCAGCAGCTTAGCCCGTTGGCGATCCTTCCAAACTCGACGTTCTAGCCTATCGAAAGCTGCACATGCTTTCGATATGCAGTGTTTGTGGTAGGTCAATAAACCTAGATTGGATTCGATGTAGTCATGATAGCCTACATTGCCCCATTGTTCGTGCAGCTGCATTAATTTGCCCACCCACCCACACAAAATACCCTATGACCCATAGAGAGACGGGAGACAACTGGGTCACCACCTATCTGCTTCATCATTTATGGTCCAAGTGATCGAATTGACCAAGGTTTACTTAGATGCGAATCGCGATCCACATTGTGATTGCGCATCGTAATCCATTCACAAAACGAGTGCTTCATAGCGACCTCGCAAAGCTAGGTAAAATTTGTTGAAGTCATAACAGACTACGTCATTCAGGAATCTGACTTTCCAGTAGTCACTCAGTTACACAGCTTTATGTGTAAAGAGGGAAACTTAGTCACCATCTTTGCTCGAGGTTCAGGATCAAGAGTAAGTTTTGTAATAGCACCCGCTACTTACACAATTAGGTTGCACAATGTGATCTGAACATCGTCCAGTCGTTTTACTCCTCATTTCTTGCTAACTACTTTCTGATCGGCGCTTGAACTGTTCGCTGAGCTTGGCATTTTTGTTGCAAACGAGGCTCTTCCACGCTACAGCACGCCACTCAGTTACGCACTGATGATGTCACCTCGATTGGTGAGGAAACGGACGTTATCCACGAATTGGTTCATTGTTTTAGTTTTTTCGGGACTACTACTAGGCCGAAAATTCTAATACCACGAACTGTGGAATGAATCGCAGATGACATTGGTTCCCTGGGGAGGGTGGTGCAGTGTCATTCACCGGATACGTATCTGGTCGCTCACAATTCTGTGCATTTCCCTTTATATACTTCACTTAATTTGGTGAACCGAATGCCACCCAGACAGAACTTAACTTTTCATGTGCTACTTATGTTAACACTTGTTTACACCACTTGAAATGCGCTTATATGCTTTTCGTTTTCTGTTGATAGACTGCCAACGCAGTCTGTGTTCCATCTCTCTCGTTTACAACGCGGTGCCTAACTCTGCTGTGCTCTCACTCGAACATATATGTTCCTTTCGTTTTCAGATTTATTGAAGCAATTTCAACTCTCATTCGGACCACTGTACGCGACAGTAACATGCGTGATATGGACCCTATTCTCCGCATCAGACAATTGCTTAATGGCATTGAGAGGTGTTATGCCAGTTGGAATGACTAATTCCATCATAGCTACAACCCGGAGCATCGAATTGTACTCGAGCAACACCTAGATTGGCAAATTAGTACTGGTGAATATGATTTCGAGGCCAATCTTGCTCTTCTTCGCCTGTATATTTCCTCTTGTTTAATATGATCATCCCTTTAGGTATCAGTTTTATCCTGAATATTTCAATGTTGACGCTACCAAGTTGGTGTTGTTAAAGGCTTTGGCTAGTCTCAGTCCCTCCGATTTCAATCTTTACAAATACCTTATTCAGTTGGATCACGTAAACACACTTTCTGTTCAACACCTCTTCGTAGCTATCGGAGGAACCACTATCTATCGTCACTGAATTAGGAATGCTACTAGAAGCCTGCCAATTTCCAAGATTTTGGGTTAGTCATGTGCTTATCTCTCGACGGTTCTTCAGATGTGTCTCCGCGAAAACCCGAATATAATCGCTGGCCTACCTGCTTTCCGGGATTGTATAGTAAAATGTAAGTCGCTGACCAAGTTTTTAGTAATGAGTTTATTGTTTATACCACTCATTTCTACTGATGTTTTGAATACTACAAATTGTTTTCTATTCGCTTTAATCACTTGACTATTTCTTCGTATCGAAGGATGGTGGTTTTAGATATCACGACGCGCGTTGCTATAAAAACGATGGAACTCGATGAAAGAGGGAATGACGGAAAGTGGAAGTAAACAAGAGTGTTGGATTCAAGTGGAGAGATTGATTCACATTCAAAAGTGCTAACGCAAGACCGCCATTGACTTCTGAATTACATAATGTACAATATATATATATATATATATATATATATATATATATATATATATATATATATATATATATATGAATGTATCAATTTCACTTTAAATCGGACATTTCGCAAAACACCTCAGACGTTTCGCAAAACTAATTGGACATTGCGCAAAATAATTTTTACACGTTATTCTTGTCAGAAAATCATAAAAGTTTTAGCAAGGAATGAGGAGTAAACCGATTTAGCGATGTTTGAAGCACATTTTGGTTAAGACAAGGCAGCCGAACTGTACAAGCAGTGGATGATTTTGTGAGCCCTTCTCTTGGTTAGGAGTGGCACTTCCATCAAAGATTTCCCTAGTCCCTGTGATGACCTCGCATTTTATGTGGGTGTGTGTGGCCCAGCTTACGTAGCTGCACGACTACTACGACAAACGCCTTGTGCTGTATGAAACTACCAAGTGACGGGAAAAAGGGAAAGCGCAGCTCCGAGATGGCGACCATACAAACGAACGTCATGGGCACGGAACCACGTCCTCACCAAGCTTGTTTTCGTCGATAGCAAAACCACCCACGAAGCTGCTGAATTCGCCGGTATCAACGATGCAATGCACTATCATCAATGTCTATACGCAAGAGAGCACCATTACTCGGCACAAATGTAGAAGAAAGAACAAGGAGAAGTGAACTCTTCATGTCACGCAGCACGTTGAAGAGATCGCGGAACGGCATTCGCAGCTGCGACAGCGGCTGAGAATGCACGGGATTCAGCTGTCAGTCTGTACGGTCTTCAGCGCTTTCCGAAGACGAAAATTAAGCTGAAGAAATGCCACTGCTAGCTAGACCGTGTCAACAGTACCCCGATCTTCGCGAGTGAGCAGGCCTTCACTCTCGACGTTTCATCATCAATTGAAGTGAGTTCTTCAATGCGTAGTAAGCAAACTGAGTGGTCGACAAACCATTCAGTTTGCTCGATTGATGATGAAACGTTTGCAACGAAACTGTTCAGCTCGGAGAACAGAACAAAATATGAACAGACCACCCGAGCTACAGGTATCCCGATTTATTGCTAATATACCATACTTAGACGCTTCATTCGCCAATCGGTTAATGATAGATTGCGTCCTATGTCGGTCATCACCGGGCGAGGCGATGTCATCTGCGTAGTCCAAGTCGGTCGCGATATTACCTGGAAGTAGCTTGATGCAGACCATCTAAGGCTCCCAAAAGAACGTCTTCGATCGCAAATTTATAGAGGCGGTGACATTGGGCATCCTTGTCGCACGCCACTGGTAACAGGTAAGAGTAGGGAAAGCGTGCCGTAGGCTCTCACTTATGGGGCCGTGTACCGTCCGTCGGTAAATATACAAATTCATTTATTTTGTTTATTTATTGGTATAGCGACGTACCTTTCCGAAACTCCATTCTTCAGCAGACAGTTCCATAAAGCAGATCGATGTACCGAGTCGAACGCAGTCCGAATATCCAGGATAGTGACGATGGTGGGTCTGCCGTAGAGGTGGCGATGCTCCAGGAGTTGGTGAAGATCGAAAATTTGATCCACGCATCCTCGACCGAGGCGAAAATCAGCCTGCTCCTCCCGGTAGTATGACTCACGAGTGGGGGGTAACCTGAGGAGCGAGATGAATGCCAGTAGCTTGGAGGCAGCAGATATCAGACTGATGCCCCTGCAATTGGCGCACGAAGTGAGAGCCTTGAAGCTTGGGACAATGATTGACCCTCCACAGGAAGAGGGGGCCTTTCTTCTTGCCAGATTTTCAGAAACAGGGACGTTAGGTACTTGTTGACTTCTGTACCGCCGTATTTGGACAACTCTAGGGGATGTTCTTCTGAGCCGGGTGCATTGAAGCGCTTCAAATAACGAATCTCAAGACAAACCGCTTCGGTTGGTCCTTCGAGTGACATTAACCACGGTATGCGACCGGGAGTACTGAGTGTAAATTCGGATGAAGAGGAACAACTGAACTGAGACCGGAAGTGCTCAGTCCATCTGTCCATGCGTCTCTGCAAATTAGTGATTTGTGACCCGTCCGCCTCACAGATGACCTCGCTGATACAAGACCTCCTGTGTCCAGTGGTCCGAATGAGTTGAAGCAGCTTGCGGATGTTTTCAGTGAGGGCGACGGCTTCCATCTCCAAGACGCGTTGGGACCACCAAACTCCCCAACCGCTGCGAAGGCTTCGTTTGAATTGTCTGCTGATATGCGGCGAACTTCATTCTGGTCTAGGTTTACTGAGAGAGCTCAGTGGCGGTAGAACAGTGCCTGAGAGCGTGCCGATACCCAACCCTTCATCGACTGGTGAGATGACCCGCAGGTTGATTGGCCTGAAGTTAGCATTGCTTGCTGCAAGCACTTCCAGTGGTGTCCAATATCAGTGAGTGGGACCCTGGCTAGTGTGCTTGCCAGTGACAGTTGATAGTCCATTTTAGCCGACTGACCAGCTAGTTTGTTCGTATCAAGCTTATAAAACCTCCGTTTCTGATTTCCTCCGAATTGCATACAAATGTTGGCACAGACCAGCACGTGATCTAAATCGAGGAAGGTAGACCAAAATGACCTACAGCCTTGTATGCTACCACGCCACCTGAAACTGATTGCAATTTGGTCTATTTGGGACCAGGCTTGCGACGGTGAAGGAGGACGCCAGGTGGCAGAGCGTCTCCTCGAGTACCTGAAATTCGTGCTTGCGAGAAACAAGCTGTTGCTCTCGCACAAATTAATAAGCCTGGTTCCGTTATCTGAACGCTTCTGGTTCAGTGCATGATGACCATCTAAGTGGTATCCACCTGTTAGCAGCCGATCGACACGTGCGTTGAAGTCATCAGCGAGGACAATGACGTCCGACTTGGCGGCTTTGCGTAATAACTGATGAAGCTGGCAGTAAAAAAGTCCTTGTTCAGTACAGAGCTACAGTCGGTTGGCGCGTAAGCAGAAACAACAAACAGATTGCGCCTTTCAGCACGATGTCTGTTACTCCTGCATGAGCCCTTGAAGGTGAACTGCACATAGTCGGCTGTTAACTGTGAATCAGAGAATGCAGCCTCGGCTTTGTTACCAAACTCTGCACCAACGCCGCTCAAGCTAGCAGAAACAGCGTCTGCGTCGCCAGATAAACCTACGTGGTATGTTGCTTCCTGTTTAGTCTGAGATTTCAACTTGAGCACAGTACTTGAGTCGTGCAATCGAGTTTCAGAAAGGCAGCAGATATCAATGGCGAGGGAACTCAGAGTACGTGCAACGCCGGCTTGTTACCCAATCTTCATGAGCGTCCGAACACTGAGGGTTGCCAGCCAGAACGAAGATCGGGGTCGAAGTATAGCCTCAGGCAGGGCAACATGGGAAGCAGTGAAACCGGTAGCGAGGTCAAGTCGATGGAAGCAGGAATTCTTAACAGAAGTATGGTTGTTTTGTAGTGAAGCTTCATGAGAAGCGAAGGAGGCATGAGCGAGAGAATACGAAACGGTTATGTAATCCATGATTTTTGCATCGGGCGCTATACTACCCGGTTGCCCAGGCCGAAGTAGGGTGTTGTCTTAGGGAGACTACCCCGAGCCTTGGGTCCAATAACTTACCCGCAAGGCACTGGGGAGAATACAAGGAATCACGCCTTGCGTTTGGTAAGATACCAAACGGGGACCCAATTTTCCCGAGAGTAACAGCAGATGGCAGCTGCAATACAATACTCCACCGGAGTGAAGGGGCAGTGACTTTATTTAATGGCGAGTCACATTTTCCACGTCGTCTTAGTGTTGTTAAACATACCTGTGTGACTTTTTATAAGGAAAACGCTTGCCAGGCGAAAACTTGCCACGTCCTGGGACATTGCCGCCAAACTATTCGCTAGAATGGCTAGATCACGAGCCACCCAGCTGTAACCACGAGGAGGTTGCTCGACGAGGCAGCCCAGTAGAATGTTAACCACTGGTGCACGCAATCTTGATGCTAGCCAGTAGATATGTGGCCGCCACTGCAATGGATTGCGTTATCAGGATACTCTTGGGAATTTACCGGCATGTTGGAATTACCATGGGGATTTCAGCGTCATTGCTTTTCATTTCTGAATCTGCAATTTCTAGCTCATATTTCGTGTGGTATAAATACATAAATAAACGGGTATTTCTTTGACGTTGCAAGGCAGTCCAACTGAGTGGCCTAATCAATCTGTACAATACGATCGTATAAAGTAATTAATTGTGCTTGCTTTCTGTAACGAATCCCACCTGGGTTTTTGAAGTGGTTGGCAGTCTAGATATCAGAGTGATTGAGAAACTGGGAACAATAACAAATGCAGATTTAACCTAAAGTTCGATTAAATTAATACGGCCAATCATGGAACCGTCCCCAGGGGACTTGCTTTCACGCGGCGTATTCCCTCAATGGGTTTGTCCCGCACTTCCATGCTCCAACTGGCTGTGTGCCGGTGTGGCAAAATGGCATGTAAGTCATCACCTGTTTAACAGAAGTTTTTTATAAGGGCTGTTTTATGCATGCATTATGGGCGATAAAGCCTCAGCTCGTCCCGACATGCGGATCATGTATGGCAGTTTTTTGTTATGCGCAAGTGGGTCAATGACAATATGCCTTGCATGGGTATAATATTTTTTTTTAGCTTGGAAGCTGTAATCCGTCAACTCAAGAGATCAGCCCACTCGTGGCCAACAACTAAGTAAGGAAAGATATAAAGTATCCGGAATTAAAAAGCATG